GAAACCTTGTGGTACAATGTCAGAGAGATCCATACACTAACACACAAGTTATTGTCTGGAAGTTACAAAAATGCTTATTTTTGGCCTCTTTTTGGTCCCTAATTCCTTAACTGTTGGTACCATAACCCCCAAAATCAATTCCAACCTTCCTGTTATGGTATTGAACCTTATGGTAAAATTTCATAGAGATCCATTCACTTAAACTAAAGTTATTGTGCGAAAACTAATGTGTCTTCGAACGACGACGCCAATTGAGAAATGTACGAAGATGACATAAGAGCGGGGCACTCTGACTTCAAATAACCACAGGGACTGACGAATACTGAAGCGTAACCACCCATAAACCATATTTGGTAATTCTAGTCAGAGCAAAGTATGCATTTTGTATGTAAAACAGTAAACACAAACATTAAATCACTCAGATGTTAAAGAATGCCTACTGTGTTATTTACATCATTTTAATATTGACAACTCTTTTGGTAATATGATGTCAATGACACTGAAAATATAAAGTGAAATTAAAATTTAATCTTTTTAGACCATGCAAATAAAAATGAAGGCCATTGACTATATAAAATAGTGTGTTTATAAAACTGATTACGGACAACACACACGGGACTGTGCTCTGTCATTGTTTGAACTAAAGCTCGCTATCTTATAACAAAAAACCTACCATATGTCATTATGCATGTACATGTACATTTATCAGTGTGTCAATGTGAATATCAATTAGGAATACTAAAAATAAACTGTGGATACAATGATATGTCTGGTCTGGGTATAAGTTTATTAGTATGATGCATGTGTGATCATATATTATAATTAAGATTGCAGCACTATTGCGAAAAATTCTACCAAACGCCCTCATCCTGTTTAAAACTACCTTTCAGTGACATCACCAATGTTATATGGAGTTGATCTTTTCATGCAGTAACATTTTATTGATCTCAACATTTCATAATTTTACTGGGTGGAAGTACCCATTAATTTAAACTGAAGACATGCAGATAAATCAGCCTAACCTCCACTATCTAAATATATACCCCCTATTTTCCTCAGTTAAGTTAGAAAAATAAACTGTAAATTGGAACACTGAGGAAGCAAATAATTAATACTTGAAGTTTTAAAAGTTGTGTCTAATCCATTTGTCATTTTGAACAATTAAATATGTTTAAGCTAAACACTTTGTCTAAGAAGGAATCTTGAAACCTACAATTGGTAAAAGTTTATGTGGATCATAACTGGGACAGATATCTGTCAGCTGCCTGTCTGATATAATTGAACCAATCTTATTTGGCCTATTTTTAATTCAAGCTCTGTAAGAGCTGTCTAATTTCCCTATTTTTTGGTTTTTTTTTAGAAAGAATACAATTTAAACAATGTTTAACATTCAGTAAGTAATATAAAGATGTTTTAGGACAAATATTGAAATTATTTTATTTTTCACTTTTGCCTAATCAACATAAACCAGCCCTCATCCCATTCTACCTCTATAACATACACAAGTCTGGGTTGTAAAACTGTTTTCTCATCTGAGAGGAGTTGAAAACATACTGAAACCCGTTTTGCTTTTGAAAAGCCTAGAGATATGGATGTGATCTTTAAATGGAAAGTTCACACCTTCTCTTTTTATGGTCAAATCTGTAAATGTTTGGTAAGTGTGGAGGTAAAAGACAGATAGTTAACACCTTCTCTTACTGTGGTAATGTAAAAGTTTGGGAAGTGTGGAGGTAAAAGACAGAATCAGTTTACACCTTCTCTTACTGTGGTAATCTGTAAGAGTTTGGTAAGTATTGAAGTAAAAGACAGATAGTTTACACCTTCTCTTACTGTGGTAATCTGTAAAAGTTTGGTAAGTATGGAAGTAAAAGACAGATAGCTTACGCCTTGTCTTTCTGAGGTTATCTGTAAAAGTTTGGTAAGTATCGACTTAGTAAAAGACAGATAGGTTACACCTTCACTTACTGTGGTAATCTGTAAAAGTTCGGTTAGTGTGAAGGTAAAAGACAGATAGTTTACAAGTTTCTCTTTCTGAGGTAATCTGTAAAAGTTTGGTAAGTATGGAAGTAAAAGACAGATAGTTTATACCTTCTCTTACTGTGGTAATCTGTAAAGGTTTGGTAAGTGTGGAAGTAAAAGACAGATAATTTACACCTTCTCTTACTGTGGTAATCTGTAAAGGTTTGGTAAGTGTGGAAGTAAAAGACAGATAATTTACACCTTCTCTTACTGTGGTAATCTGTAAAGGTTTGTTAAGTATAGAGGTAAAAGACAGATGGTTTACACCTTCTCTTTATCTGTAAAGGTTTGGTTTCTGTGAAGGTATCAGACTATCCAAAGGGAGATGATGATACACTTGACAACTTATATTTGTGATTCCTTTATGTTGATCCTAGTATGCTCAATACATACAATTCTTTTAACAGGGGTTATAAATCCAGCCTAAAAGTAAAAGTTACCAGTTACAACAACTATGTTTCTACATCTTATAGTGGACACGCTAAAATGGACTACTGGTACACATCCCAACATAACATTATCTCATTAGGCTTTTGGACACATTAATTTGGACTACTGGTAGACACAATCTAAAATAAATGTGGATAGTGTCCACATGTGGACACAGATGATGCCCCCGCTTGCATATCATATAGTTATAAAGGGACATAATTGAAGAACGGTAAACGTGACACTACCCAAATTTGAACTTGATCTGAGTTTTGTGGTAATAAGCATTATGTGTAAGTCTCATAACATTTGGTTGAGGCTAACTTAAGTAGAGAACAGAAACTAATAAAATGCTCCGCTGGGCTCAGCTTGATACGACCGCAGAGGTCGATTCCTGAACAGTTGGGGCAAGTATGGACACAACATTCAAGCTTGATACAGCACTGAATTTGGATTGTGATTAAATATTTGACACAGCATAGGTTTCTGACACAGAATGAATGTGGTCTAAGAACTTAATTTTTTTTAATTTACCTATTCAAACCATATCATTATTATTTGCTTTTATATATAAATCAGAAAAAAACAATTTAAAATGGAAAATTTAAAAGAAAAAAATTTTAAAAAAATCCCCCCTCAAATTTTTTGAACCCCCTTATGATTCATCACCCCAAACTCAATCCCAGCCTTCCCTTTGTGGTATGGTACCTTGCAGTACAATTTCAGAGAGATCCATACACTTACACACACGTTATTGTCCTGAAACTAGAAAAATGCTTGGTTTTTTTCCCTTTTTTGCCCCTTATTCCTAAAATTTTGAGGCAATTACCCCCAAAATTAATCGCAGCCTTCCCTTTGTGGTATGGTACCTTGCAGTACAATTTCAGAGAGATCTATACACTTGAACACAAGTTAATGTCTTGAAACTAGAAAAATGCTTATTTTTTGCTCCTTTTTGGCCTCTTATTCCTAAACTTTTGGGGCGATTACCCCCAAACTCAATTCCAGCTTTCCCTTTGTGATATGGAACCTTGTAGTACAATTTCAGAAAGATCCATACACTTACACACAAGTTATTGTCATGAAACTAGAAAAATGCTTGTTTTTTGCCCCTTTTTTGCCCCTAATTTCTAAAATTTGGAGGCAATTACCCCCAAAATCAATCCCAGCATTCCCTTTATGATATGGAACCTTGTGATACAATGTCAGAGAGATCCATACACTAACACACAAGTTAATGTCATGAAACTAGAAAAATGCTTGTTTTTTGCCCCTTTTTGGCACCTTATTCCTAAAATTTTGAGGCAATTACCCCCAAAATCAATCCCAGCATTCCCTTTGTGATATGGAACCTTGTGGTACAATGTCAGAGAGATCCATACACTTACACACAAGTTATGTCTGTAAGTTACAAAAATGCTTATTTTTGGCCCCTAATTCCTTAACTGTGGGTACCATAACCCCCAAAATCAATCCCCACCTTCCTTTTGTGGTATTGAACCTTATGGTAAAATTTCATTGAGATCCATTCAATTAAACTAAAGTTAGAGTGCGAAAACTAATATGTCTTCGGACGACGACGACGATACCGGACGACGACGACAACGACGATGACGACGACGCCAACGTCATACCAATATACGACCACAAAAATTTTTTTGCGGTCGTATAAAAATTATATCAATTCATTTTGTTTATGGATGTCTTTTGAAACAAGATATTAGTTAATACGATTTTTCGTTTTTTTAGCGACATGTTTTCGTGGTCTTAGATCTTTAGATACCAGTATAGTCGTCTGATCTGTTATTTTACCGGTTGTGTCCTATTCCCGATTGTGACATTTTGACTGATTGTGAATTCGCATCGCGGGTGATGAATGCCTAGCAGGTTACATTAACCCTGTCGGCACACCAGTTCTCTCTCCTATTGAAGTTCATGTGATCCTTCAGTTTTCTGTCTGTTACCTTGATGTGTCTCTTACTTTTCGACGTACGATAAATTACTGTTTTAATTTTTTCTCTACATGTAAAATAGGCAGTATTTCATCAAAATCGTCTAAATCAAAGATCAATGCATTGCCATGATTATCATTTAGATTTAATTGATAAATATATGTAAAAAAGTATAACAAAAATACCGAACTCCAAGGAAAATTCAAAACAGGGAAGTCCATTAAAACTGACAAAATTAAACGCTATCAATCAACGCAACAGGTGAAAAACAACTGTCATATTCCTGACTTCCGAGGAAAATGTAGGGTTAAACCTAGTTTTGAAGCTAGTTAAACTTCCCACTTGTATGACAGTTGTCTATAGTTCCGTTACATTGAAAACGTAGGGTAAGCAATCCAAACAGACATAATAGGTTAATGTGACAATAAATGGGATCCAGCAGCCAAAACTGTGTAAACATACATCACAGACATACATAGATTTGTTTTAAAAAACTTTTAAGTATAAAATATTGTTTCTTTAATATTCAAACTCCATTGGGTTCCATCAACCCTTGAGCTTCGTATTTTGACACAGTGAGTGAAACAAATAAGAATGAAGTCGACCGCACATCTTTATTTAATTCCAGCGTGATTATTTAGAAATTTTCAAAACAAACACATTTGAATGAACAATGGATTTTCAAGATACAACTTTTATATTTATTAAAAAAAAATGAGTGAACGGTATAGAATTATTTAAGAATCCCTTATTTTACATTACAATCATATTTTAACGTGTCCAAAATCTCAATATAGTCTTTGGCGAAATATTATGTTCGCCCCATTACATTCAATTTTATTTTCTCAATCAAACTTCTATTACTTTCACTGTCACTGTCATAGTAACTGTCCTGAAGTTCCTTACTGACAGGTTTCCATTTCGGAGTTGGTTTCAACGCTGTTGCAAATTTCTGAAATGAAAACGATTACAATGTAGATGTAAATAGTGTACTTTCAAAACTGCTTTTTATGTCCCCGGAAATGGTTTATGTATAAATACATATTTTTACAATATAAGAACATAATCTCCGTAACCTCATTTAGTCTTTGAAACCACAACGTCGGACATTTCTTGCGACACACGACGAGCTAGTAATTGATTAATAATTATACGAAAAGAAACCCCACAAAATCAAAGTGTTTGTGAGCACCAAAGGGTTAAGATTGCTATTTCTTTGCGATATGACATTAAAATTAAACAATGCATCATTGTATTAAGGAATGGAAGGCATTGTTTTGAATTGGGTTATCTTCAGTTGTTCATAATCGTAGTTGAACCTGTTTTTAAAAAACAGATAATTTCATACACCATGCACAACTTATGTCATTTTCAAAACATAGTTTTCTTGAAAAGTATGTCTATACACATACTCATCATTTTGTAACTTGAATACCTAAGTATATAACATTTAAAAATTGATTGACATAGTCAAAAACAACATTGCACTATCTTGTTTGTGCTTCTCAAAGGCAGATATGTTTGCACTATCTTGTTTGTGCTTCTCAAAGGCAGATATGTTTGCACTATCTTGTTTGTGCTTCTCAAAGGCAGATATCGAAAATGTAGCTATCAAGCCTGTGACAATAGGATTGTGATTGAATTTCATGAAATCTTTTCCCCCAAAACAAAGACTGCTTAAAGATTTTGCCGAAATAGCAAAAAAAAAAAGGCTTTTCATCAGAACCAAAGTAATGACTTATGGTAAGTACCTTCATAAGAACATTTCTACATGGTTTGTTGTTATTTCCTTTCATCTGTTCTCAAGCAGAACTTTAAAAATAATATACCTCAGCGTTTTAATGAACACTTTGATTTCTGCTAGCGGCCTTTTCAAATTTTTGAAAATAACAACACTTGTAACAGATTACAGAAACATCCCTGCACAGTTTCGTCTTAATTGGTACATTGGAACTCTCAAAATTGGATCACTAGAACCCATTTTTTGGGATCCCTTGAATCCTCATTTGACGTTTCATTAGAACCAAAGTAACAACACTTGGTAAGTACCTCCTAAAGAACATTGTTTTGGGAAATAATATCAAAATGATTTTCCCCATTAAAATTTAATTTAAACTTTGCCCACAGGACATATTGAATTTCTGATTTGCATTAAGTAACACTTGTAAAGGACCTTCAAATGAACATATCCGACTAGTTTGGTATCCAATTCTGGAAAACTTTTATCAATCTGACTCCTTTGTTTATCCCTTAAGGCAATACTTAAGGTTCATAAAGACCAAAGTAACCTCTCTTGATGAGTATGTGCATGGCTTGTTTTTCATTTTACTTCATCTGGCTTGAAAAGAAAAGCAAAATATAATTTTACGTAGGGTTTCAATGAAAACTTTGGTATCAGCTGTCGACCATTCTGATGGCACCAAAGTAACAACACTTGTTAAGAACATTCACGGGTGCAATTGGTTCGATGGTTCTATAGAAGAAGATCGTTAAATATAAAACCTATTTTTACCTCTTTTAGCCCCCTTGAAGATGTATCTTTTCATAAGAACTTTGATAGCAATTTTCTTCGAGTTTTGATTCCCAAAGGTATTGATTTTACTTTTTTAAACATACAACAATAAAAAACCACTTACATCTTTCAGCGTTTCCCCAGGTGCATGTAAAACAACACCAAAAGCACAAATAAATATTGGCATTAACGGTAAAACTGACAAAAATGTTCCAAACGCTGCTGCTAAAGGTGGATATTCGTAAGACCCGTATGTTGGGGGTTTATATGATGTCAAGCTGTAAACAAACAATCCCTGAAATGATAAAATGATAATATGTGACCACTGGTTTAATTATAGAGTATAATAACAGATATACTATTAACTTGTTCGATAAAATGACAAATATTTTATGTTTTTCGCTACATTTAATTTTGGCAAAGCAGAAATGGCTTGACAACAGTCAATTACTATTATATATAGACTGAAAAGTCTGGCATCAAATTGAATACTGTCGTCAATTCTTTTTGAGCTGACCATGCTGATGAAGGAAACCTATTCGAAGATATTTTATACCATAATTCGTGTGGGAAATGCTAAAAGATTTATTCAAAAGGAACTTATATTAATTTATTCATCTGATTTCTAAAGATTTCTACCATTTTCTGGTTATTTTTGAACCCATTGTTTTGTTGCATCCAGTATAATCAAAGGTTAACTTACAATTACATACGTGTATTTAGAGCTTCCAAAACACTAGTGAAATAAAAATTAATTATTTTTCAATGCTAACACGAATCGATTCCACCGATTTTCTTTTGGGTAGAGAATAGCCGTTTTGGAAGGTCTACACATTTTTTTCAACATTGTAACTACTGATAGCTGGAAAATGAGTGTATTTCGTCACATGTAATCATTGGAAGCAGGTTTCAGTTATCTAGTGAAAGGACATTATCTATATAGCTTATCGCGAATTTATAGGATAAAATAAAATCTGTTCATTCTTTTTTTTATAATCCCTGTTTGGAATCTGGCTCATACGAAACAAGGAACCAGTCACCAACAATAAAAGAAAAGCACACCTTGTTTCTCTAGGAATACAGACTGTCCGTTGGAAATCATCTCATTAACCCAACGTAACAAATTATTTGTCATTAAAAAAAATCAAGACTTTTCGTTCAAATCAATCAGAAAAGATTAAACTTTCCCTTCCTGAAACGAGATATTTGAATCTATGATGGTCATTCTTTTTATACAAAAACTGTTGCACTTCTTCGTCAAAAACTGATGCTTACCTGCAAGCTACAAAAAAAATCATAAAACTTCATTCTACCTAGATAAACTAATCATGGATACCAGGATTGAAATTTTGTATTTGCGCCAGACGCTAGATATAGTTCTATGAGATTGCATTGTACTCACCAAAAGAAAAGTAGGTGTTATAAAGCAAATACAGATTCTGAAGAAAATTGGTATCCCCCTTCCAAGCATCAAATGAACATCTTTTGAGAATCTGTCAAATCCTAAATATAACAATTTTATTGCGCATTAATAAAAGTATCTGTCGAGTATACACGTAAATGAGAAAAGCAAAAATACGACACAAATAAAGAAAAGACATCTGTAAATTTTACATTTTTTACTCTTTTTTTATATAAGCTTGTTCAAACCCTTGCAACGTACGGGTATCTGAGTCAATCTTGTCTGTTCACCTGTCAGAGGCAAACAGATAAAGGACAGGGAACCAGTCCATTTTTCATATTACCCTTCAATACAAATGAAGTATGCAGTCATTCAGACCGACATCCGCTTCTGTTCCTCTTTTATTCATGTACATGCAGCAACAACATTAACAGTTTATACTTTTTGTGTTATAATTATTTCAGTGATTCAAAAAATATTGATATAGTTTTTTCGTTAGCATCATATATTTTTCTTTGTGTAAAACAATACATAATGTGTTTCTATACTATTGAATAGCCTGGAAATATCAGACTACTTTATTGCTATTACCGTATATCCAACCAAAGACAATGCATTCAATGAGTCCAAAAACGGCCGGAGAAAATGCTGCTATGTACCAATCAACCAACTGGAATACGAATATGCCTCCCTATAAAAGTATGAAAAAAGTCTTTAAGATCATCTACTAAATAAAATGAATAAATTCAATGCAAGCAGATAAATAAGATTAATAATATACATTATGCTGGAGTGACATATTCCAGCTAATCCTGCAATATGATCGTTTACCTTGACAGAGTATATAAGCCCATATACCCTGTGAAGAAATTCGAAGATCAGTATTGTAATTAGTGTTGAAATAAAGACACTCGAATATGATAAAATTGTTATGCAGGCTTTACAGGGGATATCTCGAATAACACATACAGCAAATTATTATACGAGTCTAATCAGTAAACCACTAAAAAAGCAATATTTAAGTATGTACTGTTTGCGTTTTTTTTCAAATTGTATGTCATATAAGATTTTCCTCTCTCACTCCTCCCTTACTCCTTCTATCTTCTTATGTTGATCCAGTTAGTTTTAACCCAATATGAAATGATAAACATGAAATGATAACGAACTAAAAAAAACTTCTTTTTATCAAGAAGAAGTTTTATTTCCACTAGAAATCAAACATTCGGAAAATATACTATTGATGACTATGTTCAGGTATTTGTACAGCTTTGGCTGCAAATATGTGTCGGCTTGCGCGTTCTTGATGAAGTTAAATCTAGAAAAGCGCTTTGGATTCACGAAATTTATGAAGCCCTATTTTAATTTTCAGATTTTTTATTTGTGACAGACAAAATTTTATGATAAGAATAGTCAGTACCTGTGTAACCATTATTAAACCAAGAAGGAAGTTTGCAATGCAAAAAGCTATAACAAACAGGATTCTTCGTTTTCTCAGTTTTTTAAATCTGTCTGTACAAGCTACAATAACAGCCTCACAATATGCGAACTGAAATATAACATTATTTACTATATAAACATTGCTACATCAAAAAGGTTGCTTTCAATTTTTGCTATTCGACAAGCCTACATAAAATGTTGTCTATATTGGAACAAATTGTGAAACAAAACAGTTTTATACTGTGTCCTCATACAACGGATTTTTTGTTTAACTGTCAGGTCGAACTTTTGCCTTCAGTACACAGTTTGGTGTTCGCGTCGAACAAAGCAAAATAGCTGTAGTCCTAGAACCAATCTAATAACTGCAAATGCACAGATGTAGAACTCCCAGGAAGATGTGAGCTGTTGCACAATGTTTAATATCTCACTGTGAATAAGTGATGAGAAACTGCAATAAAATCGCCGTTCACTTGCTTTAGGTTCAGTTAGGTTTGTGTAAGGACTTTGTGTAAATACAACATATTCCATCTTTTCCGTAATTATATCTTATTATTTTAAGTAGTGTTTTTTCTAATTGGAAGCAGTCCCTGGGATGTTATAAAATAATTTGATACAAATAACTGACTTTCAGTCTGATGATGTAGTTAATCATTGTCTTAAATAATACTTCGTGTTTAATGGAGGGAACTCAATAATCTGTTTATCGTAGTGTTTTAAAAGTCTTGAAAGCTTAACGACTAGTAAAGGTCTTCTTTATGATATGCTGAGGTCTCGTTACGTGATTGACGTAACGTTTGCACAGGAACAGAGTTTAGTATTAGATTGAACAGAACAATATAAAACAGTGAAGGTGAAGTATCTCATGAATTTACGGCCACACGTACACTTAAATGTTCAAATGTTGTGAGAAATACATGCCCGCTCCAGTTTTAAGTCTGGCAATCTGCAAGTTCAGCATTATAAAAACATTTGAACGCCTGTCAGTTCAGTTCTGCGTCTTTTGTTTTGTTTAAAAATCAGATATTTAATACAGGCGAAAACAAACTGCTCAATACTCAATTATTTCATATGTCTTCACCTACTGGTTCTATAACGGTTATCAACTATGAATTATAATTCCAACGTGTTTCGTTTCAAATATCTTGTTGAACCTCAAAAGAATAAACGCAAGAATGTTTCATTAACACAATAAAAAAATGTAAATAAATGTATACTTCCCAGCAAAGAGATAAATAATAAAAAAAAGAGTACAAACTTAATAAGTTGAATATAACTTAAGTTTGTTGAGAACATCAATATACCTGACTATCTAAACCAACTGTCAACAGCATCACAAAAAATATAAAAGCCCAAACATTTTGTCCAGGTAATTGGGCTAATGCTTCTGGGTACACTATAAAACCCAGTCCAGGACCTGAAAATGTTAAACTGATTTCAAATTCTAAAAGCAAAATTATAGAGAGCTTTGATTTATAACATTCTACCAATTTATGGAATATAAAATTTAGTTTTTTTTTATAATTTTTAATGGTATTCGTAATTCCTTGAAATACAACTTTCGCAAATAATTGTCCAGCTTAATATGTTATTTTACATTTTTCCAAAAAAAACACATAAAAGATCAAACAAGCAACAACAACAAAAAAACAAAACGTAAAATATATCTATAAATTTTAAAAGAATTTGTAAATAATTTTACATTTATTATGTCCCGGATTGACAAAATTTGGTTTTCTTTTGCTTTTTTTTCAATCGTTTTTATTTTGTAGCATTCTAACATTACTTTGTTTTGACAATTTTTATTTAAGCTCACGAGAAATGATCGTCCTTCGTTCAGTTTCGATAGGAAGTTTATGATTTATCATTCTGAATTTACTAAAAGTGATATCTTTATCTTTCAGAATATTGATGTAGTTTTCAAAAGTTAATGTTTCATTGAATGAACGGATTAGTATTTCAGAGCCGTTTATAAAATTGGCCATCCCATATAAAAATTGCCAACTATCCACCAAAGTTCAAATGAAGTAGATGTAAACAGTTATCAAAGGTACCACCAGACTTATAATTTGGTACGCCAGACGCACGTTTCGTCTGCATAAGACTCATCAGTGACGCTCAGATCAAAATAGTTAGAAAGCCAAAACAAATACAAAGTTGAAGAGCATTGAGGACCCAAAATTCCAAAAGTTGTGCCAAATACGGCTAAGGTAATCTATGCCTGGGATAAGAAAATCCTTAGTATTTCGAATAATTCATACTTTTGCAAACAGTAAATTTATAAAAATGACCATATAATTGATATTCATGTGAACACCGAAGTGTTGACTACTGGGCTGGTGATACCCTTGGGGACGAAACGTCTATCAGCAGTGGCATTGACTCAGTGGTGTAAATAGTTATCAAAGGTACCAGGCTTATAATTTGATACGCCAGACGCGCGTTTCGTCTGCATAAGACTCATCAGTGACGCTCAGATCAAAATAGTTAGAAAGCCAAAAAAAGTACAAAGTTGAAGAGCACTGAGGACCCAAATTTCAAAATACGGCTAAGGTAATCTATGCCTGGGATAAGAAACTAAGCAATTATAGGCAACCGGCAAGCATGTATGTTGATATAGATCTTCTAGTCTTGTTATGGTCGTACATTGCAGCCATTTGTCAGTGTGGAATGGCTAGTACCTCTATATGCATAAAAATCCACACCTGTTAAGAATGTTTTCAACGGTGTTTAAAATCAATTTGTAACTTAACCGATAGTATCCTGTTCCCGGTTGTGACTTTTGACGGAGTGTGAATTCGCATGGCAGGTGATACATGCATAACATTTTAGTTCCTTCTTGGATTTCATGCGAATTCCTCAGTTTTTATTTGTTAATTTGATTTGTCTCTTCCTAATCAATTTACGAGATTTGCACCTCGGTAAAAACAGCTGCCTTAATTTAGCTTATCGGAACCGAAAACTGGTTCTGCTCTTAACGTCGATCTTAGTTTATAAATAATAGAACCAAGTTTATTGTCTTTGTCAATTAAAATTCTTGGGAAGTAGGCAATGACTCAAATAGTATATCAACCTGATGACATTGTTTGATGAATTAGATTTGGAATGCAAAATGAATAATATTACATTTCTTTTCTCAAATGTTTAAAATATAAAAAGGTGTCTATCGGTGTTCTTCGTAAAATTTCCAGTTAATCTTTATTCAGTTTTTAATGTAATTCATGGAGAGACGTAATAAGTCGTCCATTGTGGTTTTTTTTTGCCCTAAAATTTGGATTTTGTTTTACTTCATTTTAATAAGATCGGGTACAAAGGATTAAGCTTTCATCAAGACGACGCTGCATAGGTCTAATTCTAGTCCGGGTTTTACTTTGTTTTTGACCCTTTTTGGTTTTATCATCTCTTCTGTGTTTGTAATATGTTTTAGATTTTCAAATATATTTGCCTCTAGCATCACTGAAGAGGCATTAATTGTCGAAATGCGCATATGTTGTAGTAAAATTGGTACCGTTAATGTTTTTGCACGATGATATGATGTTTCCAGATAAATCGAATGGAACATCTAGGCTTGGATATCTATAAAGGTAAACAATTTTATTGAAACTTTCAAACCAATTTGGATAAACATTAAGCCGTTATAACGTTTTCGTTCACATTCATTTAATTCTATATCAACTATGATCGAGTAATTTCCTTTATTTTACCCCTAACCGTGTTGTCTTGGCCGAGACATAGTTATGTGTTTTATCTGAAGATTGTCAATTCAAACACGAAATACTAGTAAATAGTAAACACATTTTATATAACTTCTGGTTGTGTTAGGATTTTCTTTAGGTGAATATGTAGAATTTTTTTTTCTAATCTATAATATTTACCTGACTTTACTAGTTTGTCTATTGGAACTGAGAATGATGTTGACATGAATCCAAGAACCGTAAAGATAATAAATCCTGAATATAAACTTGTTCCCTCCCCAGCTAATGAAAGAAGTACTGAGTCACTGGAAAAAATGTAGAAACATACAGTACATGTGTATTAGTTTTAAGTATGTAAGACAAGTGTTGATTCGGACTGAAATTCAACCATTAATTCAGCATAACAAAGAATATTGGTTCATGACAGAATATATCTAATTTGAAACTTCAATAGAATACACAGTTCAATATAAACCAGTTATCACTTATTCCTCTAAATTGTAAACTTGATAAATACCTGTAAAAACATAATTGAAATATTCAAATACTTTGCACTTTGAAAAAAATACATTATCGTATAACAATATTAGTATTACATAAAAATAAAGTTAGAAATATCATCTACTCTTCAAAAGTAAATGAAAATGATGTATCATTCAGTAATGCCATTTTAATCCGAGTTTGTTCTGGTGCAGATTGTATAGTGTGAACACGGTATAACACTAATGTAATATTAATTTTGAGCGTTCAAAGCCTTTTTCTGGATTTAACTTAATTAGGAACACCACATTTAAAAGCCAAGGATTTTTAAATATTTGATTGAGAAGCTATATGACCAAAAGGGACATAAAAACAATATTTCCCTGAGGAAAGAAACTAGAGGCTCTAAAGAGCCTGTGTCGCTCACCTTGGTCTATGTAAAATTGAAAATGGAGATGGGGAAAATGTCAAAGAGACAACAACCCGACCAAAGAGCAGATAACAGCCGAAGACAACCAATGGGTCTTCAACGCAGAGAGAAAATCCCGCGTCCGGAGGTGGTCCTCAGCTGGCCCCTTAATAAAATTGCGTACTGGTTCAGTGAAAATGAACGTCACACTAAACTCCAAAACATATAAAGGAACTAAAATTAAAAAAAACATACAAGACTAACAAAGGCCAGAGGCTCCTGACTTGGGACAGGCGCAAAAATGCGGCGGGGTTAAACATGTTTTGTGAGATCTCAACCCTCCCCCTATACCTCTAGCCAATGTAGAATAAAGAATCACATAGCAATACGCACAGTGAAACTCAGTTTAAAAGAAGTCCGAGTCCGATGTCAGAATAGGTAACAAAAGAAACTAAGCAAAATGACAATGATACATAAATTAACAAAGGACTACTAGCAGTTACTGACATGCCAGCTCCAGACCTCAATTAAACTGATTGAAAGATTATATCTTCATCATATGAAAATCAAGTACAATCCCTCCCGTTAGGGGTTTAGTATCCAGAGGCGGATTTAGAGGGTTTTCCAAGGGGCCCTGCCCCCCTGTTGTGGGAAAAATTTGGTTGATTATTTAGGGAATCACTGAAGCATGACTGGAGCGGGCCCCCTCTTAGGCAGTCAGTGGGCACCCCCTTATGAAAATTTCTGGATCCGCCACTGGTATCATAGCATCATAAAATATATGAGAAGAACATAACCCGTATCATGCCAACAACTGGTTTTAGAATAAATGTGTTTATTTCCGATGCAAACCCCTACGAGTGAATCAATATTAATACCAAAATATGCCATCTTTAATGACCTGACAACAGTATCATAACTATATCCCTTCTGAATAAGTCTGTTTAAAGGTTTGGTTAGCTTTTGAGGTGAATGCCGACATTTTTGTGCTTTGTAAAGAATATTACCATAAAATATTGGATGTGAAATACCTGAACGTATAAGATGTCTGCATGTTGATTTATATTTACGAATGATGTCCTTGTACCGATGATAAAATTTAGTAAATGTTTTGACTAGTTTGTGATATCGAAAACCCTGGTGTAATAATTTTTCAGTAATACAGAAATTTCTTTCGTTGAAATCTAATACGTTTTTACATACACGAGCGAATCGAACAAGTTGAGATATATAAACACCATAAGATGGTGACAAGGGAACGTCACCATCTAAAAATGGATAATTAATATAGTAAATGAAAAATCATCTCTTTTATCATAAATTTTGATATTAAGCTTCCCGTTAAAGATATAGATATCAAGATCCAGGAAAGGGCAGTGTTCATTGTAAGAATTAGCTTTATTTAAAGTCAGTTCGGCAGGATAAATCTCTATAGTGTACATACTGAAGTCGTCATTATTGAGAGCCAATATATCATCTAAATATCTAAAAGTGTTATTAGATTCTTGAATCAGATGTTGTTTCGACGGCATATGTGCATATCAAACTAAGGACACTCTAAACATTGTAGACGAGAATAGACTTCATGACAAAAATCTCTATTTTGTTGATCTTGTATTATTGATCTTTTAGTCTGTTTAGTTTCTCTCTATCTTCTTTGGTTTTTGCTAAAAACACAAAAGAGGGTAAAAAAAATCCTCATTTAAGGGCAATCACGCCTATGAAGAGTGACTACTAACTATATCGCCAAAATTTGGCTTTTTGATAGATCTTGCCTTGCTGATGATTTTTGTAATTTAAAGTATTTATGTATCTATTATAATTTAAATAATATAAGGCATAACGAACAAAAATGTTTCTCAATAAATATCATAGTTTTCATGATAATAGGCAAAAATGAAAAAAATGGTAAAATTTGTCATTTATGGACAATTACTCATATAAGAATTTGTCTAACAGATTTGACTTATATGGACAATTGGTAGAGCTCATTTTTCTAAACATTTTTGCACCTCTCAGATTTTCTCTATTTATAACGGTTCAAAAAATAATAGACAAAACTTGCATTTTACTCTTATGTTCTATTTTTAGCCATGTCGGTTATGTTGGTTGGTAGGCGGGGTCATCGGACAAATTTTTTATGCTAGATACCCTAATGATGATTGTGGCCAAGTTTGGTTAAATTTGTCTTTGTAGTTTTAGAGGAGAAGATTTTTGTAAAAGAATACAAAAATTTACAAAAAAATGTTAAAAATTGACTATAAAGGGCAATAACTCCTTAAGGGGTCGATTGACCATTTTGGTCATTAGACTTATTTGTAGATCTTACTTTGCTGAACATTATTGCTGTTTACAGTTTATCTCTATCTATAATAATATTCAAGATAATAACCAAAAACTGCAAAATGTCCTTAAAATCACCGATTCAGGGGCAGCAACCCAACTACGGGTGGTCTGATTTGTCTGAAAATTTCAGGGCTGATAGATCTTAACCTGATGAACATTTTTACCTCGTCAAATTTGCTCTAAATGCTTTAGTGTAAGATATATTAGCCAAAAACTGCATTTTACTCCTATGTTCTATTTTTAGCCATGTCGGCCATGTTGGTTGGCAGGCGAGGTCATCGGACACATTTTTTAAACTAGATACTCAAATGATGATTGTAGCCAAGTTTGTTTAAACTTGTCTCAGTAGGTTCAGAGGAGAAGATTTTTGTAAAAGATTACAAAAAATTACAAAAATGTTTTAAAAATTATTATAAAGGGCAATAACTCCTTAAGGAGTCAATTGACCATTTTGGTCATGTTAACTTATTTGTAGATCTTACTTTGCTGTACATTATTGCTGTTTTCAGTTGATCTCTATCTATAATAATATTGAAGATAATAACCAAAACCTGCAAAATGTTCTTAAAATTACCAATTCATGGGCTGCAACCCAACAATGGGTTGTCTGATTTGTTTGAAAATTTTAGGGCAGATAGATCTTGACCTGATGAACAATTTTGCCTTGTCAGATTTGCTCTAAATGCTTTGGTTTCAGAGATATAAGCCAAAATCTACATTTTACCCCTATGTTCTATTTTTAGCCATGGCGGCCATCTTGGTTGGCGGGCCAGGTCATCGGACACATTTTTAAAACTAGATACCCCAATGATGATTGTGGTTAAGTTTGATTAAATTTGGTCCAGTGGTTTCAGAGGAGAAGATTTTTGTAAAAGTTAACGACGACGGACGACGGACGCCACTTGATGATAAAAGCTCACTTGGCCTTTTAGGCCAGGTGAGCTAAAAAAGGGGGGGTTGTAGTTTTGTCTTCTTATATATTTCTTAACAATTTCTGCGACAAAGATAGACAAAAAAGAGTTCGGTAATTTTTCTCTGAGGGAGTTAGAAGTTGAGTTCCTTGAATATACCCCCCCCCCCCCCCCCCCCCCCCCCCCCAAAAAAAAAAAGAAGTAAAAAGAGAATTTTCATAAAATCGAAATTATATTTTCCTTGTTTTGACACTTTCATACAATATTATTTGTAAGGTTGATTACGATTTACCATGATTCGTTTTAGAGAAAATAAGAGGAAAATCTGCAAATAACTAAAGGTTCAATAGAATATACATTTTTCATTCTTTCCACCATGTATACAACCTAACATTACGAACAGATGACTCTTTATCAAGGGTTCACAAATCATCATTTTGAATAAGAAGATTCGATATTGTGTACTTTCTTCAGACAAGAAATTTAATTAAAAAAAAAAGAGTCGAACATCCTTCAAAAAGATCAACCTGTATAATAATAACAACGTCTGTAAATCATTCATTCACAGAAAACACCATAAGATTATTTCATATCAAGGAGCCTGTCAAACATGTGATTGACAGTTGTATTTTGTTTAAACTTTTTAATTCAAATGGGCGTATCTCCTTCAAGAGACACCAAAATTAATTTTAATCTTAAACGGCCATTTTGATCTTAACATCATCTGAAAAGTCTGATACAAAAAACTTTAAGTTTTGTTTATAATTTAAGTTATTTTTCAGATATTGTCTTGCTATAAATTCAGTACCGTTCAGACTTTTTGCCTGCAGTCAATCCAGTACATTTCAATTCAAATGGTCGTATATCTCCCAAAATAGTAAATAGATTCAATAAGTTGATATGTAACACATCAACATACAAGCAAAAGTAGCCATAAAAAATATCTGCAATTAGTCTGGAGGATTGTATCAACCTTTGTTTCATTGTTACTGCTCAGTTATAAATGACTGTATCTGTAATTGATATTAGCACCGTTATGTCGTCATATGTAATAGAATAACATGCATTTATCATGTTATATCCTAAAGTATGGTCAAGTTCCCCTCCTAAATCATAAAAAAGCTCTCATTTTGCAAGAACCATAATAACATGGTGTAAAATATATAAACCCATAGGACTACAACAGATATGGGGTCTATATATTACATAAGTTATACACAGTTTTCGATTAAATTTTCTTTTGTTGAGGTAAAAAGAGTAATAAATCACAATGAATGTAACTACATGTATATACAAAGATTTTTAAATACGTTTTTCCAGGGTAATGTCAAAATGTTCTTTTCATGCCGAACAATAACTAATTACAAATACGTGCAACTTGAATGGATACACCAAAACCACGAAAAATATCGGAAACATTGCATGCACTGCAATCACTACAAACAATTAAAAGTCTGAAATGGAGCACTTTTTGTACTCAACTGAACTGATTTTTACTCGACCATTCTGAAATGACTCTTTTAAATGGTTAAGAACTGATCGAGTACAGATTAATTACAAGTTCAGACTGTTTAGTAAGCTTCAGACTAGAATCGAGTACTAGTACATGTAATATCGAGTAAAATATAAATCAATTCAGAATGGTCGAGTACAAATACTTCAGATTTTTACTGGTTTGCAGTTAATTCTTTAGAAAAGTTTTAAACCTAAAATATCGGAAACATTACATGCACTACAAATCCCTTAGAAAAGTTTGGCACCTAAGTTGATTCATATACTCAATTGGCAACGTCGTTTTTCACACAGATTTTCATGTATAATAGATGCAAATAGTTCGTGGAATCTTACATTACCTTTACTTTCAATATTGAAAAACGTAAGCAAATCCTACAATTGTTGTTTAAACAGTATTTGTTTTGAAACTAGTAGAAAACTAATAACTTTTGATAAACATGTGGCGAATCAATTACATAATAAATGTGTTGTGTACAAGTTGTAATTTCGTTTGTACAAATCATTATAAGTACAGGGTTTTGTACAAGTTATCAGTAGTTTGGCACAAACATCCTTTCGCCATATGCTGCAAATTTATCTTAAGAATAAACCAGCTAAATGTTTTACTGAAAAAATATATATGTCAACCTTACGTTAAGCCCTGTCCTCTTTGTCCAAAAACTATAAATGAGGATTGGTTTAGATTCTATATTTATTTTTTCACTATCACCAAATTATATGTCAAAAAATATTTTTAGGGTTCTTATATAAACTTTGTATTAGTAAAATGTATAATAGAAATAAAAAGATGTGGTATGAGTGCCAATGAGACAACTCTCCATCCAAGTCACAATGTGTAAAAAGTAAACAATTATAGTGCAAAGTACGGCCTTCAACACGGAGCCTTGGCTCACACCGAAAAGCAAGCTATAAAGGGCCCCAAAGTGACTAGTGTAAAATAATTCAAACAGGAAAACCAACGGTCTAATCTATATAAATAAACTGTTATCACAAAGATATGTCTCGCCTTTTTGTAATTTTGATAATGCAAATGTTAAAATTAAAATAGCAATACTTAAACATGAAAGTTATGCAAATATTCAAAGTCAATGAACCATGACTGAAGGTACTTGGCTAAAAAATCTCCATGGAAATGAGATGTGCCAATGCTAATACAATTGCATACCAAATACCATTGACTTATTATAAGTCGAGCCCTTTAAACGAACCTAAACACAAACATTAACTTGTAAGCTATGTAAATGTTTCAAAGTTAATGAACCATGACTGAGGGGGTGGGGCTATATAATCTCCATGGAAACGATACTTGCAAATGCCAATAAATTTGCAAACCAAATATCATTGACTTGAAATTAGCAGTTCATCTTAAACGGATCTAATCACAAACTAATGCATGCCGTAAACTAAGCAAAAGTTTCAAAGTGAATAGACCTTGACTGAGGGGGTGGGGCCAAATATTCTCCATGGAAATGAGATATGCTAATGCTTATACAACTGAATACCAGTTAACATTAGCCTACCACTAATGGTTCCCCTTGAACTGACCTAATCACAAACTAATACATGTATACTAAGCAAAATTTTCGAAGTCAATAGACCATGACTAATGGGATGGAGCCAAATATTCTCGATGGACATGAGATGTGCTAATGCTTATACAACTGCATACCAATTATCATTGACCTACCACTAACGGTTCCCCTTAAACTGACCTAATCACAAACTAATACATGAAAACTAAGCAAAAGTTTCAAAGTCAGTAGACCTTGACTGAGGGGGCAGGGCCAAATAATCTCCATGGAAATGAGATGTGCCAATGCTAATACAACTGCATACCAAATATCATTGACCTACCACTAGTTGTTCACCATGAACTAGACCTAATCACAAACTAATACATGTAAACTAAGCAAAGTTTCAAAGTCAATAGACCTTAACTGAGGGGGCGGGGCCAAATAATCTCCATGGTAATGAGATGTGCTAATGCTAATACGACTGCATACCAAATATCATTGACCTACCACTATTGGTTCATCATGAACTAAACCTAATCACAAACTAATACATTGTTGACCCCGCCGCCACCGACGCCAGAAACAGCATACCTATGTCTCGCTTTTTGACTCCGTCAAGGCGAGACAAAAACGAGAAACGAGAAACACTTAAGAACCACATCAACAAACGACAACCACTGAAACAGGTTCCTGACTTAGGACAGGTGCAAACAAATGCAGCGGGTTTAAACTTTTTAACAGGCGCCAACCTTCACCCTAACCTGAAATAGCAGTGTAACATTACAACATAGAAAGACGCACTAGACTGTATAGCATATAGTCATTAGAATATGACAGTGATAAGATAAACCACTGACAGTGTTACTGTGTTATCCAATTATGTTAATTGGTTCACAAAATAGTGATAACTTATACAAAAAATTCTGTACTAATAATAATTATAGTTTGTACAACATTAAAATTTGTACACAACACATATATGACATAAATCAATGGTTTCAAGGAATAAAATAATTCTTGGAGCAAATATTAATTGAATAAATGTTCCCAGAGGCGCCGGGAAACTTCTTTTATTGGAAGGGGAGTAAAAATAGTTAAGCGATATGGAAATAGTTTTAATATCAAAATCTAAGAAATTTCAAACATTCTCGCATTTTTCTAACTATACAACATAATGGATTGTAGGTAATTCAAAGGACAAAACGGTATTTTGAAGTTTCACAAGTTTTGAATAGTTATGCCCCTTTGCACCACCTGTCGCGTCACCTGTGGTTGTTCTTGTGGGCTGTTAACCAATAGCGTAGTTCTGGTTGTTGTTCTTGTGGGCTGTTAACCAATCACGTAGTTCTGGTTGTACCAAAAGAACGTGGTTCATTTTTAAATACCTAAACATATTTGTTTTCTATGTTCTCTTACACTAGGTTCGACCAAAGGTGTCGTTTCTGGTTTTGTTAATCAAAGTACTAATTTTTTTTTTTAACTTTTGATTATCTTTGCTATAATAGAATTTAAGTTTGTTACCTGGAATACTCAGTACCTTGACTACTCAGTACATACTTAGTAATCATCTTTACCATGCCTGTATACCGGACTGTTTAACCAAATAAAAACGTATATTTTATTAATAAACTATTTTCCAAAAAACATGACTTGTTTGTGAAGAAGTGCATTGATGTTATATTCGAAATATAGCATGATAATGATTGTATTTCAAACTGATATGATTGGTCAACTTTAGATCTATTTTTTCAAAGTTTTCGTTTGAACTGAAGGATTACTGAGGATTTTTGTTTAATACTTCTCAGAATTTAACTTCTTTTTAAAACAATTTTTAATTCAAATTCGTCTTTTTTTTAAACAAATAATAAATTTGGGGTAAAAATTTATATAACAACAGATGATAAGAACTTACCTGATTAAAAAAGGTTTTTGAACATTAACTTTTATTTTTTTATGTAGCTAATCTATCAATTTCGTTGTTAAGAATTAACTAAAAGTAATACAAAAAAAAAGGTTGTATCGAAAATAATCAAAATGTACTTTGACTTTATTGAATCAAATTGAATTATAATGTTGATCTATTTCAGAATAATATCTGGCTTTAAAAAAAAATTTAAGGACAGAGAAATTTAAGTCTTTTGCCAATAAAATTCCAATACTATTGGGATAAGAATTTACATTTTGTAGTAGTAGAAGTAAATACTTGTATGTTACTCTCTATAAATATTATGTATGTGTAGTGAATTAAAGCACAAATATGTTAAAGAAAATAGGTAAATTGGGGGTGACAAAAAATACAGATTTTCAATTTTTAATATGCAAATGAGAAGTTTAAAAGATAATGAATGATTGAATTTAGAAAAGTAAGGCGTTTGATTTGTACACGCTAATAAATCAAATGAAAATTTACAATTTCTCATTAAATTACAAATTTGATAAACATTGAAAAACCAACTTTTGTTTTGATACCATATAATGGTGGTTTAAAGTTCATGTTTCATTGATTTGGCAGTTTTCATCAAGATATCATATAAGATTTAAGTTTTTTTTTTCAATTTTGAAGTGAACATATTTGTGCTATTTTTATACATCCAACTAATGACATTTCTTAAATGAGAGGCTACTTACCGAAGACAGTTATTGTTAAATTTATTAAAACTTGCCATAGTGAATAGTGGTCCCCATCCAGGCCCAAGGGAGTAAAATACTTGAATTACAGCTTCTAGCCAAACCTAAAGATAAAACAAATAATATGCAAATACCAATGAAATTGATCTAAAATCTAGGCACACGATGTAAAATGAATTCTCCTTAAAGGAGGCACTCAATTTACAAGCGATGTTATTAGAAGAGCAATCGGCAATCCTCGGGTGAATCCGCTACTCTCCTTCTTTGAAGGTACGGAATCGACCGAGTTGTGACGAATCATTAGAAGAGCATAAAGAACCATTTTACATTTGCAACTGGTCTTTCATACAGATGGTGTGTTCTGCAAATTGGATAATTTGTAAATAGGATTTAATGGATAGAACAAACCAACTTATTTTGTGCATGTAGTTCTTCAGTACTTTAACTCCGAAGTACTGAAAATGTGTTTAAATAATGTAGTACTGTTTTTTTTTCAAATTATACAAATTAATGTACAAATGTTTAATACAAGCTTTGTACTTTTATCGTTAAGTAGTCTGTATGCACTAATTTAAACTATTTTGTACCGGTTCAGTATATATTCTAAAGTCTTTATTTTTATTGCACTTTCAATTTTATAAAATTGAAATACTAAAGAAGTGTACTAAATACTATTGTGCCTTTAAAACTATGGTACTAAAATAATACAATAGTTTTAATGTACTACACCAGTGATATCTTTTTATGGTATATTTTCAGTACTATGAAGTTGTAGAACTAACAAGGTACATTATTGTTATTATGAAAAAGAAGCGGCGTAGTTGATATGTTACAAAACGATTTACCTGAAGTTCCAATAATTTGCTGAAATCTGGGGAAAGGTAAACTATAATTCCGTTTATTGACCCATCAAGTGTTATTCCTCGGATAAGTATAACAGTAAGTAAAATGTATGGTATTGTAGCTGTCACATACACTACCTGAAAGTAAAACACATAATAATGTAGTCTTTTTCTTATTATTCTTGTGCCCCTCTTAATTAGAAATAAGAATATGTGGTATGAGTGCCAATGAGACAACTCTCCATCAAAGTCACAATATGTAAAAAGTAAACAATTATAGGTCAAAGTAAGGCCTTTAACGCGGAGCCTTGGATCACACCGAACAGCAAGCTATAAAGGACCCCAAAATAACTAGTGTAAAACAATTACCACATCAACAAACCAACGGTCAAGCCATCAAGCCTCTCCCCCCCCCCCCCCCCCCCCCCCCCCCCCCCCCCCCCCAACACACACACACACACACACAAAACTTGTTTTAACCAATTTACCCCTCTAAATATAAAAATAAGGAGATGTGGAATGGTTGCCAGTGAGACAACTGTCCACCAAAGTTCAAATGACGTAGACATAAGCAAGTATTGGTCACCGCATTGTCTTACACAATAAGTTAAACTAATACCGTAGAGTCGGCAATAAAAAAAACCCGACACGACAAAAGGTGAAACAATTCAAACAAGAAGAAAAAAACGCCTTGTATTTTGAAAAAAGAACAATAAATGAAAAAGAAATATGACATACAGCAACCAACGACAACCATTGAATTAGAGACTCCTTACTAAGGGACAGACACTTATAGAATGTGGCGGTGTTAAGAATAATTTTGAGCACTCAACCCTCCCATAACATGGGACAGTGGTGAAACAACACAATATAAGAACAAAATGTAAAAATCAGTTGAGAATGGCTCGACTTACCAGATATGCACAAAGCATAAAAACAGCTCAACTAATTGACAAAAGATACAAAGCACCGATATAACAGTACTCGCGGTTGCTAAAAGCTAGTTCAAAGCAAATTATAACTAATTAACAAATCCTGCTCTCCCAGGCAAAAAATATATAATTCAGTACAAATACAAAGTATTTAATGTAAAGACATCATAAACAATCTGAGAAAAGCATGACTTTATGCAATGCCAAAATATAAGTACATATCATCGACAGAATGTTTCATAAATGTAAAGCAATATATTTAGTTATGTCTAACAAAACCAATGGCAGTAACGGTAAAAACAATACTAGTAATTAAAGATCTTGATATAGAGTTAAATTGATAACCGTACAGATTAATTTATTCTTGGGATCAAGAGTTTACATAGATTGTAACTAAAATTACGGGCTCTATAAACAACATCACGGTAAAAATTAGGATGTGTTATCCAGTTTGTAATAAGATTTCTACAGTAAAGCTATAGACACGGGCACAGTGAACGAATTGGAAACAAACACACCATAGGAGAGGGCTAAAGTAAGATTATTGTCTAAAAAAGGAAAATGTACACAAGGGAACGAGAAATCGTTTTTTTTTTTTTTTTTTTTTTTTCCGTAATTTTATTTCATAAAGTTTCCTGTGTGAAACAGAAATTACCTAATCTAGGAAAGGACAATTATTATTGTCAAAAGTAGATTTATCTAAAGCCAATTCCCTTGTGTAAAACGCAGTATAATTAAAGAATTTTTGTTTATCTAAAGCATAACTATCGTCAAGTTATCGGTAAGTGTTGGTTTATACAATTTATCAATTGAATTGAATTTATAAGGATCTTTACTGGGTTTGGCCATACACTGTGACTCATGAAAATACACGGAAAAAGGTCTTCTATAATATTAAAAAGGGTGCAATTAGTGCCTATATGATCAATCTATCGATAAACGTTATTACCGAAACGTACATTGATGTTGTCAAGCAGAAAAATTTAATAGGTCAAGACTTATTTATTGGACGCTAAATTAAAGGGGTATCGATAATGCGTTAATTTACTTTTTTTCCATCTTTTATTGCATTAGTTTGTTAATGTTTCTTGCCATATGAGGAGGTGGAATAGTTGTTAATTTTGTATTTTTATCAATGGGACGAAATGGTAAAATGACAAAATTATATTTACTAGGTCGTTTATGACGATGTCAAATTTTCGATTTTTAAACCGCAAGTTATTGTTTATTTTTAATATAATTATAACAATCCTATTGATTTAGATATTTTTTATCACTTTCTTCGTAAATGATATGCACTCACTTTTCCAAGAGATTTAACACCTTTAATGATGCATAAACCAACAACCACCCATGCTGCTAATAAACACAGCATCAGCTTCCAATTAATAGTACCAATTTCTTCGATTCCTGAAGTCATACCCAGTACACTTTCTCTGTAAAAAAATTAGTTGTTTTGAAAGTTCTATCTAAACGATTATTTTAAGGAAAAATGCTATGTTTAATAAACAGTGTGTACCTCTATTTTGTTTTTTGATCCGTATTATTTTTGGGGTTTTCTCTTGGCAAATAATGGCCTTCGTCATTGCTTTGTCATTGGGTACCAAGTTTGTATACGCAACTTCTCTAATACTCCTTTTCAATATTTATTGAAACTTTCAAGAATCTTAACCATGTAATGCCATTGTGCATATTTTCTTTTGTTTCTTGATAAGTTACCCATTTTAATGTCTTTGGTTTTACCTGTCCACATATCGAACCCATGACCTGAAGAATTCGAGGCGAGCACGCTATCATAAGACCTCATAAGCTTCGGAGAATAAAGGAGTGTATAAACAGGACCACAAACCAATGAAATACTATATAGAAATATAACCTAAATGCATCAAAAGGAAGGTGCAAGAAGGTTTCCAGTCATAAAATTACGAACCTTATACACACTTAGTCAATACTTGGTTTTAAGTAGCACAATCAAGAAATACATTTTCGAAATGTCATTTATCTTAAATCTTTCATTTGATGATGAGGAGGAGGAGGAGGACCATGATGACGATGAAGACGACGACGTACGACAATGATGATGATGAACGTCCAGAGGCATATTTTATATGTATTTCAGGACGATAGTATGTTAATGTGATATGAATATTATCCCTGCTTTGTACTAGACCAACAGCTAAGCCTATAACTTTTAATGTGCTAGTTAAATTGCATACTGACTGCAGAGTGACATATCACCCTAGCAGGAAACAGTTTTTGCTGTTACACTTAACGGCGAACTTCACTCGGCAGCAAATAAAAATAAGTCTTTGGTTCGCCTTGGCCGGGAATCAAACCCACGATATCCCGCACTCGAAGCAGGTATAATACCACAAACCAACTATGTGGTCTGCATTTCATTAAGTTGAAGTTGACTTGTTAGACAAATGTATGTAAAACAGATAACAGTAAGCACAATGCTTCTGAAGTTAACTGACTATGTTACTAATCTTTGGCGAATTTCCAAATTAGGCTACCAAAACGACATACTAGTTTTAATTGGTGAGTTAAACTTTTCCGAATAGCATCTCATTTGATCAACACTTACTGCCAAAATTCTTCTTGAGCCGTTATCCAATTCTGAGTGCTATTCATCAACACCACAGTTGAATTAATGCCCTGTGAGACATGGGTTGTCAGATTTAAAGTACTGCGGTCGTCTGTACAATATTGACTATTCCATTCATTAGTACAGGTCGTCCATGGTAGAGGCACGGCAAACGAACTAGCTATGTAATACAGTGACCATGCCATAATGACATTGTAGTAAATACAGAAAATGGTCATTGATATGATCATACCTACTCCAACTCCTGCAAAATGAAATAAAATGCTTCATATAAAATTATGAAATTTGCACACTCGGATGGAAAGGCAATATTTACATTCCTACACAAAACTATGCCATTTAAGTACAAATTACATGGAAATGAAACTTCAATTCATGTACATTTAACTTTCAAGGTTTCACCTTCTATGAATGAAATAGTCATCAACCCAACACTATTACAGACTTTTTTTGTCAAATTTCTGCTTAATTTATTTACAACTTTCTTTTTTTTTTACCTTGGGAACAATTTAGAGCTTGTGATATTTACGTGTTTAGGTAACTGCCTATTGTAGGACACTGAATGTTGACATCTAGATGTGTTTAGGTAACTGCCTATTGTAGGACACTGAATGTTGTCATATAAACGTGTTTAGGTAACTGCCTATTGTAGAACACTGAATGTTGACATCTAGATGTGTTTTGTTTATTTGTGACGTTGTATTACTGTCTCATTGATGCACACCTCACTAACGGAATAAATAAGAATAGATTTACAGTATTTGCAGTATCTTCACTGACCTTTATGGAATATCTGTATCCCAGATGACGACGAATATGTTCTAATTGTCCTCGAATGTGACCTACCGAATTAGACTTATAACCGGGGTTTTACTTACACGGGCAACTCGATGGGTGTCACATGTGGAGCAGAATCTACTTACCCTTCCGGAGCTCATGGGATCACCCCCTGGTTATTTGTAGGGTTCTTTAGTTTTTCTATGTTTTGTTTTGTATACTGTTGTTAGTATTTTGGTCGTTTTTCGTTTTTTGCCAAGTTGTTGTCATTTTATTTTCGACTTATGAGTGTGAATGGCCTTTTGTTATCTTTCGCCTCTCTTTCGTGTATATTCATATCAAAATCTCCCCTAGTAATATATGATTACATTTACAAACAGAAACAGTTAGCTTTCTGGAATCAACACCTTTATAATTATGTCATTTATGTTTGTGTTGTTGTGATCCTGTTTTATTTGCGAATACTCCAAATCTCCTTTCAATCATACCAAAGTTTCAACTCGTTTTATTGGCATAAACTCCAAATCTCCTTTCAATCATACCAAAGTTTCAACTCGTTTTATTGTCATAAACTCCAAATCTCCTTTCAATCGTACCAAAGTTTCAACTCGTTTCATTGGCATAAACTCCAAATCTCCTTTCAATCACACCAAAGTTTCAACTCGTTTCATTGGCATAAACTCCAAATCTCCTTTCAATCACACCAAAGTTTCAACTCGTTTCATTGGCATAAACTCCAAATCTCCTTTCAATCATACCAAAGTTTCAACTCAATTCATTGGCATAAACTCCAAATCTCCTTTCAATCATACCAAAGTTTCAACTCGTTTCATTGGCATAAACTCCAAATCTCCTTTCAATCATACCAAAGTTTCAACTCGTTCCATTGGCATAAACTCCAAATCTCCTTTCAATCATACCAAAGTTTCAACTCTTTTCATTGGCATAAACTCCAAATCTTCTTTCAATCATACCAAAGTTTCAACTCGTTTCATTGGCATAAACTCCAAATCTCCTTTCAATCATACCAAAGTTTCAACTCGTTTCATTGGCATAAACTTCAAATCTCCTTCCAATAATACCAAAGACTCAACCTGTTTCATTAACGTATACTCCAAATCTCCTTTTCAATCATTCAACAGTTTTATGTTGTTTCATTGACGTAAACTACATATCTCCCTTCAATCAATTCAAAGTATTGACTTGTTTCAATGACGTTTAATCTAAATCTCCCTTCAATCCTACCAAAGTCATAAATTATTTCTTGGACTTTTCTTTCAAATCTTCTTTCAATCCTACCAAAGTCTTAAATTGTTTCAAAGACGTTTACTCTAAATCTCCTTTCAATCCTACCAAAGTCAAATTGTTTCAAAGATGTTTCTCTAAATCTCCTTTCAATCCTACCAAAGTCTTAAATTGTTTCAAAGACGTTTACTCTAATTCTCCTTTCAATCCTACCAAAGTCTTAAATTGTTTCAAAGACGTTTACTCTGAATATCCTTTCAATCCTACCAAAGTCTTAGATTGTTTCAAAGACGTTTACTCTAAATCTCCTTTCAACAATGACGTTTACTCTAAATCTCCTTTCAATCCTACCAAAGTCTTAAATTGTTTCAATGACGTTTACTCTAAATTTCCTTTCAATCCTACCCAAGTCTTAAATTTTTTCAAAGACGTTTACTCTAAATCTCCTTTCAATCCTACCCAAGTCTTAAATTGTTTCAATGACGTTTACTCTATTTCCTTTCAATCATACCAGTCTGAAATTTTTCGTTGACGTAAATTACAAATCTCCTTTCAATCATTCCAAAGTCTCAACTTGTTTCATTAACGTATACTCTAAATCATCTTTCAATCATTGCCAAGTTGTTGTCAATTTATTTTCGACTTATGAGTGTGAATGTCCTTTTGTTATCTTTCGCCTCTCTTTCATGTATATATTTGAGCCGTTATCCAATTCTGAGTGCTGTTCATAAATACCACAGTTGACTCAATTAAGACTCAACTTTTTTCAATACTCTAAATCTCCTTTCAACCTTGCCAAAATTTCAACTTGTTTCATTGACAAATACTTTAAATCTCATTTCAATCTTAGATTAGTTACACTTTCTGAGGATGATTTATAAATGCCGATGAAGTTAATTTTATAAAAGCGTTTCTGACACATATAAATCATAAAGCGTTATTTTTCGTTTATTCTAATTGCATGTAACTTTACAGGAATGGCTTTCTATGTTGAGACACAACTCTTTATACAATGTATGTGCAATAGTTGTCTTAGTTCTATGTACATACTATTTTCGAACTACTCAGAAAATAATATAATATATACATACGTCCTTACATGAGTACATGTGTATTTACAAAGATGCACGAAGTAAATTATCAGATAAGCAGGTAATGGAAGGTAAGAAGTGTCGTAAATATTTACGTTTCAACTTACTTATAATATGATAAGATGTATATACAAAAGTAAATAATAAAAAAAAAGGAAATGTGGTTTGATTGCCAATGAGACAACTATCCACCAGAGTTCAAAGCAATTATAGATCACCTTCAATATTTTCAGAGAATGACAAATGTAAAAGTCAGAAAATATTATAAAGTCATATAGTATGAAACTTAAAATACAAGAATGAAGATAAAAGAACAGAGTTCCAATGTCCCCCGCGTTGCACATATTTTATATTTCCAAGGGGCCTAACTCTTTAAAAAAAAAAGTCGATCGGCCACCATTAAAGAACTTGTCCGAGATATTGCTGATATTAACCTATAGTATAAGTTTTATAAAAAATCTGGCAAGAATTGTAACCGTTAAAGCGCTAACGAGGCCATTTTCCATAAATTTAATATTTCCAAGGGGCATTACTCTTTTAAAAAAATTCGATCGGCCACAATTATAAAACTTGTCCGAGTTATTGCTGATATTAACCTGTAGTATAAATTTTATAAAAATCTGGCAAGAATTGTACCCGTGAGAGCGTTAACAAGGCCATTTTCCATAAATTTAATATTTCCAAGGGGCATAACTCTTTTAAAAAAAGTCGATCGGCCACCATTATAGAACTTGTCCGAGATATTGCTGATATTAACCTATAGTACACAAATGTATAAGTTTCATAAAAATTTGGCAAGAATTGTACCCGTGAGAGCGCAACGAGACCATTTTCCATAAAAACAAGACCGGACGGACGCCCTGTATTTCCATGTCTCCCGCAACAGTTACGCGGGGGACAAAAAGGCTCTAAAATTCATTTATTTACTTTGCATGTGGTGTGTAAATAATGCATTATATTTTGGTGCTTTGTGTCTATATGATGAGTCAAGCCATTTCCAACCGAGTTTTACAGTTTGTTCTTATGTTATGCCGTTACACAACTGTCCCATGTTAGGGGAGGGTTGAGTGCTAACAAACATATCTAACCGCGCTACATTCTTTATGTGCCTATCCCAAGTCAGGAGCATGTTATTCGGTGGTTATCGTTGATTGCTGTCTGTCATATTTGGTTTTCATTTATTGTTTTGTCATAGATAACGCCGTTGGTTTTCTCGTTTGAATTGTTCCGCATTTTGTCATGGTAGTGCCTTTTATGGCTGCCTGTATTGTATGTAGTTTGCTCATTGTTGATGATTGTATGGTGACCTATAGTAATGTTGCTTTCATCCATGTCATTTGGACTTTGTGGATAGTTGTCTCATTGGTTACCATACCACATCTTCTTATTCTATAATGACTATTTACTTAATGTTTTTGTTTTATTTTCAATATGAAGAATTCTTTTAAAAACAATATTTTCATCTTCAATTGTGTTTTGAACTTGCCTTGTTTAAATAAAATTTTCATTTTGACAAGTGGCCATTGCTCAAATTAAAAACAATCAGTCGTAAATATACAAAATACAAGTTTACAGAGAAAATTGTGTGTGCCTGTATGAGTGCTAATTTTTGTTAAACCATTGGTGTTATGTGGGACTGTGGAGGCGTTCTGTCTACTATGTTTCACGTGATTTGAATAACATTCCAGCTGTACAGTAAAAGTCCTATTGTCGCCGCTAGAACATTTTCCTATTTTGTATAAGAAGCTATTAATATCTGATATGATAAAGTAAGAAAAAAAGGCTCGTAATCTTACCTTTGAAAATCGGACAGACCTCCCATACATGAAGTGTACCTTGTCCAGTAAACTGTCCAACTGCTGTTTCAAGGAAGAACAAAGGGATTCCACAGAACACCAGACAGATGAAAAAGGGTATCAAAAACGCACCTTAAAAGAAAAAGAAATGTTATGACTACTTTGTATCTATTTTCATATTTTCAGTTATAGATCGAGTTATACATGTATGGTCACTTACATTTTCAGTTAAAAATTGGTAATACATGTACCGACACGTACAATTTCAGCTAAAGATCGAGTAATACATGTATCGCCACTTACATTTTCAGTTAAAGATCGAGTTATACATGTATCGCCACTTACATTTCAGTTAAAGATCGAGTTATACATGTATCGCCACTTACATTTTCAGCTAAAGATCGAGTAATACATGTATCGCCACTTACATTTTCAGCTAAAGATCGAGTAATACATGTATCGCCACTTACATTTTCAGCTAAAGATCGAGTAATACATGTATCGCCACTTACATTTTCAGTTAAAGATCGAGTTATACATGTATCGCCACTTACATTTTCAGTTAAAGATCGAGTTAAACATGTATCGCTACTTACATTTTTAGTTAAAGATCGAGTTATACATCTACCGTCACTTACATTTTCAGCTAAAGATCTAGTTATACACGTATCGCCACTTACATTTTTAAGAAATCTACTAAAAAAAAATTGGACCGGGTGAAAAAGTGACGACTACGCGAGCAATGTTGTGTTGATTTCTGTATTCAATGCAGATAATATAAATGAAACATTCGAAAGGATATGATTACTAAAATATATATGTCAGCTCTAATAAATACCAATTTGCGAAACTTTATAACTAACAAATATGGAAATGTATTGACCAAAATGTACTTAAATTGAATTTACCAATAAAAACAAAGGTTATATGCTTATAATTGATCAATTTTTATATTCTTCTAAAGATAGACTGTGATGATTAATCAGGTCTTTTGGAAATTAACAAAGTCAGTACATTTTTAATCATTAAAGTATTTATACTAGTAATATAACTTGAATATCAGATCCATCTATAAAAGATAAAACTCAAGGTTGAATCTTTCACTTGCAAAATATGGATATATTATTTCTTTTTCAGGAAAACAAACTATGCAGGGTAAAAATAAGTTTTAAAAAATTGAGATTAGGATAAAAAAAAGAGATTTTATATAATCTTCCAAGCCCTTCCACAGATGAAATGGACATCCAATATTCATTTATAAGAATAGACCTGCTGTATACCCTAATTTGCTTGTATAGCAAATTTCGCTTTTTAATGTATCCCTCTCTCTTTTATTGTCTAATTATGATAATATCAAAACCGTCAAAGGTTCCTACAAATCCCAATTAAAGGACATTCAATAAATTCGGGAATAATTATTAATTCTGTCTTAAACTTTGTTGGGCATGGAATGCTTAAAGTTAGTGTGCGACATTTTAAGCTGAACGTACAGAACATCATGTATGTGATACACCAATGAGAGCCATACCCCGATTGGGTGTACTAGTATCTAATTTAAACCAAGATATTATGGTTTAATGCAAAAGGATAAATTTCAATAATTTAGAAGGGTGTCTTTCAGCAATTTGATCTTTTTTTACAGTACAGCATGATAAATGTAGGATATCTAGCTATATTTAATAAAACCTTTGTGTAGATCGTAACACAATAATGCAATTAAATAAAAGTGAATATCTTGCAATTATCTTGGTTTATCTTGATATGTATCTTCTTTATGGATTTATGAGATTTTAACATCGGTACACTATTGTTGACCCTAATTCATCTTAATACTAGGTCAAATACTTGAAAGGCACACACATTACAAAAATATACTCTTAGCTATGTCTTATTTATGTCCCATCTTAGACATGCGATTTGCGGATAAAGAACCAGAATTTACTTTAGTATGTCACATACCACCTTTATCTGATGCATATCCTGTCAAAATGTTACTACTCGACTAGACGGCATACCGAACGTATATGATCTACATAGACTTATGCAAAGATAAGAAAAATAACGAGGACTAAGAAAGATGTATTCTTTATTATAATTTAGAGGAGATTCTTCGTATGAATGAACACAATTTTTTTCTTATATACCCTAATGAAGCTACTGGGTTTCCACTTTTTCAGTTTCGGAAATAGATTGATTAGACAAATAAGTGAAATTCCAGACATTTTTTTGTAAAATCTGAAATAATTTTCTTTGAATTAAAATTGGACAATGCATGTCTTCCAAAGGGTTCTGAAAATTGCCCATATTAATGAGGGTCTGGATGGGGTTTACAGAATAGAAAATAATTGGCACAAAGTGCAAAATGAGGACAAAAATATAAAGAATAATGGGGAGCTAAAATATAAAACATGGGGAATAATTAATAAAATTTATAAAGAACAGAGAAAAATGGATAAACAATTGAAGAAAACAGAATTGAAGGACCCTCAGCCAGACCCTTAAACTGTAGAAATAACATATATTACACTTACCTCCACCATTCCTAAGACAAATATAAGGAAAACGCCACAGGTTTCCTAAGCCTACTATGTAACCCAGAACGGATAAAAGGTATTCAATCTTCCTCGACCACACTCCCCTCTCTATAACTTCATTCTCAGACACAGAACTTTCACTGTCTTTCGTCATTTTGTTTTTTCCCTGTAATAAACCAGATTCTCTTTTAGACAGTTTCGCCGAGAAGTGATTTGATTCCCGCTTAACAACCGGCGTGCGATTAACACTGATAAAAATGTATAAACGTAAACAAAGACTCGATTTAGACATGCATTTGTTATTTTGGTTATAGTTATGTAATTAAATACGTTCAAAATAATATGTAAAGCTTTAAGCGCAATTTAGCATGATTTTATTTTAATTACACCGATACATTCTTTAAAGTAGTTGATACAATGTAATTATGAAAAATTTATTTATTAAAATATCAATGGAGAACAAAATCTGGTAAGAAAAGAACTTTTAATGAAGTTGCATAACACAATTTCTCTGATGCTGCAACATTACATATCCCATTTTACAACTTTATTAAAAATTCTTGTTTTTATTTCGAATTTTGACTTACATGAATCTTTAACCTTTGGTAATTTGTAATAAGTTCGGCTGCACTGATAAATACTCGATACTTGCGCAAGCGCAAGCGTGGGTATATATAAAGGACATCGATACTTTCTTTGTTTTGAAGTGTATTTATTTTAATTCTACATTATTGTTTATGTATGTTTAAGTGTTAAATCTAGGTTTTCGGTTTTTGCAATAGCCCACCATTTTAGACGTATTGTCTAATTTGTGCATCTGCATACCATTGTATTTTACAACGGTTATCAGGTTACCACTTCAAGTTCCGTTTGACCGACTAAGCAAAAAGGCTGTAGGGTAGTGCACTCCTTGAACTATGAACAATAAGAAGTATTTCTTAAAGTTGCTATTGAAACATGTCATGATGTTATTCATGTGTTGAACCGTAAAATCCATAGTTTGTGAAATCCAACTATACCAACCGTATGATTTGAGCATTTTACATCTAAGAATTATTTAACTTATTTTATGCACCTTTTCAGTATGTTTTTCTTCTGGATGTTGTAGTCTTTTTGCTTCGACTTATGGTGGTTTGGTTGTCCCCTTTTTATCGTTTCCTCTTTTTTTTTAATATACATGTATTACATTTGAAATTAACCGAACATGTATCACTGTACTCTAAATTATGTAATTTAATGTGAACTTTACATGAATTTGACACGACATTAGAAGTTTAGAATACCAGCAACAAGAGATTAGGTCATTATCTAATATTTTTCATTTTAATGACATGACTAAGCTGGTGAACAAATATTAATGCTGTTTCTATTTTAGTAGAACATAGAGGTAGTTTTTTTCTCTGCGATTATCTGATATCGGGGCCTTTTCGGACCTATCGGAAGATATGATACTATCTTTCAACATATCTTACATCCAAATTATTTCCCAAAGTAAGGTAAAAAAAAAAACAACCTTTAACGTTGTTTACCACCCTACACTTGTGTATGTGTGTGTGTATGTGTGTGTGTGTGTGTGTTTGGGGGGGTTCATACAACCTAGTTTCACCACTGAATATACGACTTTAATTCTTGGTAAATTTTTCCTCTGATTTTAAACTGTCCGAAAAAATTCAAATGCTCTTTACGTTAGATTTTCTAGTAACAGTTTCAAATAATTATAAAATATCATTATTCTTGGTTTTTACGCTGATATTGAACAATATACTAGAATACGTAAAAAGCCAATATTTGTTCCCTAACTAAATTAAATATGCTCAAAAATATTCATACCTCTTTCTTTTATGCTGATTTTTTTAAATCTCAGATATTAAGTACATTAACACAAAAATATGATCATCACACACTGGAGTTCAAAATAAAACTACACTGTTCCGAAATGCAGCAATAAACTTATATTGTAGATCTGTCTGTGTACTCATATGTGACCCGCCACAACATGTTCGGGCTCATGGAGGTAAAATGTCATTGTGAGAAAATAACACAGTAAAATTGTATAGATGTACACACGATTGTTTCTATACTGAATTTAAGTTCTGAATACTTTTTAAGCATTAAATGTAAAATTTGTGTAATTTAAAGCTTTAAACTTAAGCTCAAGAACTAATCATACACGTCAACATGAAGATTGGCAAAACTGTATATTTTACCATTTAAAATCTCTGTATCAAAAAACATGAAATTTTAGTAAATAACTATTGTACCATACATTTTCTAATGAATATTTTGTATATGCAAACATTCTCACTATCAATACAACCTCACCATGTATTCAATATAAAATGTATTGTCAACATAGGAACAGTCAATAATCAATTCAAACTTTATTGTCCTATAAATCAACTTATATGATTTGCGACTAAAACACACAAAACATAGGAATACAGTTATAAAAATGTCATATAGTCTTACCGTTTTAATGGCTTCCATGCAGTATTGTATTTGAATAAGATTTAAAAAAAATTCAAGTAGTTTATTTTATTTGATTTTTTTCTATCTGTACTTCAATGTGGTTTTTCATTTGTTTTGGTATCTTACTTTTTAAAGACAAGGTCATACATGTAGCTATTCAATCCCCTCCATTTTACTGAATAAGACTACTGTGGTTCCTTAAATGAAGTCAAAAGGGTAACCATACTTGCCGTAAGCTGTGGGCGACATGAACTAGGAAGCTAGAACACTAATTATTTAATGACCGTGCGTAATAAGGTTACATTTTTAGTAGAACAGGCAAAGAAAAATTATTTCCAAAATGCTATCTCAAATTGTAAAGATAGTAAATCTATCTGGAAGTATGTCAAAAGTCTAAATCCCAAAAAATTACATAATAATATCACGCATTTGGAATATAAAAATAGTGTAATTCAAAATGATGTTGATATAGCAAATACATTTAATGTGCATTTCACAAATATTGCTGAAGGTATAGTTGATAACAAATTATGTAATAATGATGAAGGTCCAAGTTTCGATGTACTCAACAAATTTGTGAAATCAAAGTTACAAAGGGGTAGTGAAAAATTCATTATACCAGAAATGAGTATTTTAGATGTAAAAATGTATTTAAAAAAACTTGACAAGTCTAAAGCAACTGGTTTAGATGATGTTGGACCAAATATTTTGAGTATGTGCAGCGATGTCATTGCACCAGCTTTAACATATTTATTTAATCTAAGCATCAAATGTGGCAAATTTCCAAGTATTTTTAAAACTGCAAGATTTTGCCCAATTTTTAAAAGTGGCGATGCTTGTAATCCTGATAATTATAGACCAATATCAGTTTTGCCTTGTCTCTCCAAAATCATAGAACGACATATAGCTGATAGTTTGTATATATATTTAAATAGTAATGACCTTCTTAATACTACACAGTCAGGTTTCAGACCTAAACATTCGTGCACCACTGCACTTACTAAATTAGTAGATGAATGGTTAGCAAATATAGATAATGGAGAAATAAACGGAGTTATATTTTTAGATTTAAAGAAAGCTTTTGATCTGGTTAATCATATTATTTTATTAAAAAAGCTTGAATATTATAATGTTTCAAACTGTACACTAGACTGGTTTAAGTCATACTTGTTCGAACGAAGTCAACAAGTTAAGGTCAATAACGTCATGTCTAATACTAAATGCATAAAAACTGGTGTACCACAAGGCTCTATCCTTGGCCCTCTGTTATTTATTTTATATATCAATGATTTACCACTGAACATAAAAAAAATCATTAATAGATTTATATGCAGATGATTCTACATTACATAGTAAAGGTAATAATGTACTTCAGTTAACGGCTAACCTTCAAAATGATATTCATGTAATTGAAAACTGGTGTTCGCAAAATTGTATGAAACTAAATGCCAAAAAGTGTAAATCAATGATTATTGGTTCAAAACAGAGGCTTTATTCAACTGGGAACAGTTTAGATATCAAAATTTCAGATGAACAAATAGAGAATGTAGATTGTGAAAAACTTCTCGGTTTATATATCGACAAAAACCTAAATTGGAATGAGCAAATAGATAAAATGTCATGTACAATATCAAATAGAATCAATTTATTACAAAAGATAAGAAAATATTTACCTATGCATATACGTATTATTTATTTTAATGCTTATATTCTGCCATTGTTTGATTATTGTTGCAATATATGGGGAAGTTGCTATGAAAGTGGAATAAATAAACTTAATAAGTTATTAAAGAAATCTGCTAGGGTTATAGTAGAAGCAGACATAATGACATCATCCAGTTTGTTGTTTAATAGTTTAAACTGGTTAAATGTGGAAAAACGCATTAAATATCAAAAGGCAATACTTGTATTTAAATCATTAAATGATATGGTTCCTAACTATTTACAAGAAAACTTTCATTTTATTGGTAATCAGAATTATAATTTACGTTCGGCTGATGAAAAACTATTAAATCTTCCGAAACCAAAAACAAACTTTTTAAAGAAAACATTTACATATTCAGGTTCTCAAATATGGAACAGTTTACCAAATGAAATAAAAATGAGTAATACACTTGTATCTTTTAAAACAAAATGTTACAAATTTTTCATCAATTGTGCAAATTAATATGCTTTTTCATTATTATCTAGATACAATTGTATATTGTGTATAATATATCATTATAATATTGTATGTACTTATAAATATGTTATTATTATTTTGAGGACTCTTAGGAAGATTAGTTTTAACTAATGGGATTATCCTCTTGAAATAAAGATTATTTATTTATTCATTTATTTATTGAAAAGGACAAATCGTTAATAATTTACATCATAAGTGGATCATTACATTTAATAAAAGAGAGGCGAAAGATACCAAGAGGGACATTCAAACTCATAAGTCGAAAATAAACTGGCAACGCCGTTGTAAATTATAATATCCAACTACATTCAGTTATAACTTCAAAAAATTAATATTCTTGAAAAAAGTTTTAACAGCTTAACAAAGGACTGTCTCCTGTCATATATGATTTTCAACGCTTTTTGAGTACATGAGTGTGTCAGGAACTGTAAAACATTTTAGTTTCTATAAGAATGCAAGTGTCTATAAGAGGATCAGTCTGATTGTTTTTATAAATAAGACGTAGGGTCAATCAGTTTATTTAAAACGATTGAGGTGAAGAGATGTGATGTACTATAAGAAGTGCAAATCCTCAAAATATCCATATATAATTTAACAGAACACAACAGAAACAAAATTAGACATATATTCTAGAAGTCCAAAGAAGTCGTGAGATATGTTTGCATGGTACATTCAAAATATTAATTACTTTAAAAGTTAAAGCCAGGTAAGTTATACTTGTTTTCAAATATTTCCTTCAATTTCCTCTAGAAGCAATCGAATAATGTTTAATCGTCGTTTCGAAGTATTTGTAAAGAAAAGTATAAAAACTCATCACAGATAACACTTTACTTTAAAAGTTCTGAAGAAGTTTGACGTTTTTTGTTTGAAGTGAAAATTACTTGAACCTGCATAAAATGATACACAAAATTAAAAATTCTCTGCTCTATATATAGACTTTCTTAAATAGAATGAATAAAACTGCTTCAAAAGAAGGAATTACCGTATCAAATTCATATATCTTTTGTAGACGAAACGTGCGTCTGGCGTACACAATTTTAATCCTTTTGTCTATTATGAGTTTGTTTATATGTTTATACTAAGTTTATTACAACAAGTTTAAATTACATTTTCTGAAAAAGAGCAAAGAATTGTACCTTATACATTTTAAAGTTGTGTTTAAATACACTGTTGGAAGTGTAAGTGTTACTAAGCGCCAATAAAACATTATTTTTTTATTTTTTTTTATCAATAAGTGCGTTCGTTAATCAAAAAGTCGTCATTGAATACAGAATCTCCTTTTGCCGCCATATTAAAAATAAAATGCTTCGCTGAGCGCAGCCTGATACGACCGCAGAGGTCGAACCCTGAACAGTTGGGGCAAGTTTGGACACAATATTCAAGACAAGCTTGATACTGTCTGAATTTGGATTGTGATCAAATTTTTGACATAATATAGGTTTCTGACACAAAATAAATGTGGTCAAGGATCTTAAAAATTTGAAATGGGACATTTAATTTACTTAGAATGGTCTGATATCCAAAATCTAACAACATGGTTAGATTCAGCATATAAAAAAAACACCAATAATTTAATTTTAGTTGAAATCTAACAAAGTTAAATTTTGGACCCTTCAAACCTTAATATGGACTAATTTGAAAACAGGGCCCAAAATAAAAATCTAAATGCACAACAAGATTCAGCAAATCATACAGCCGCATTAATTCAGTTTTTGATGAAATCAAACAAAGTTTAATTTTGGACCCTTTTGACCTCAATGTAGACTAATTTAAAAATGGGGCCCAATATCCAAAAAAATCATACAAGGTTTGAACCCCCAAAAATTAAAAACTTAATTAATTCCATCGAAATTGGTTAAAACATTTGTATTTGTTTTCAATTGAAGATTTCTTGCTATTGCGCAATACTGTGCAGTTGAAGATTTCTTGCTATTGTGCAATACTGTGCTATTGCCCATTGCTGTACAAATGAAGATTTCTTGCTATTGCGCAATACTGTGCAATTGAAGATTTTTTGCTATTGCGCAATACTGTGCAATTGAAGATATCTTGCTATTGCGCAATACTGTGCAGTTGAAGATTTCTTGCTATTGCGCAATACTGTGCTATTGTGCAATACTGTGCAATTGAAGATTTCTTGCTATTGCGCAATACTGTGATATTGCACAATACTGTGCTATTGCGCAATACTGTGCAATTGAAGATTTCTTGCTATTGCGCAATACTGTGCTATTGTGCAATACTGTGCTATTGCGCAATACTGTGCAATTGAAGATTTCTTGCTTGTGCCCAATACTGTGCTATTGTACCATTCTGTGCT